GCGCCCCTCCCTCCTGGGCGTTTCCCCTCCGGCCCCGAAGCGCCCACCCCAGGCTTGTAACCTTCCCGCCTCGGGGAGCCTTTCACGGCCGCTTTTCACCCAGACGCTCTGCCGCCTACCAGTACCCCACCTGCCTCCCAGACCACACTCCGCCCGTCCCAGGCCCAGAGGATGGGAGTCCCCTTCCTCCGAGGTCTTCCCTCTTAGGTAGGAACGCAGCCATTTGCGGGAACTTGCCTGTCCTGGCAGCCGTCCTCCCAGCAGGACTCAGGGAGCCCTCACCGGCCTAACATCCTCCCTCACCCAGACCCCTCCGGGGCCTCGCGAGCCCTTTCTTGCCTTCGCTGTACCCGATCATTTAGTGGGAAAGGGAGGGTCCAAACTGCAGGAGAGGTGAGGTGGTGGCCTTCTCCCCGGCTCCGGGTCACGGCCCTTCTGACCCCTCGTGCTGCTTTCTAGCCCCACTCCTGCCCCTGCTGTCCACAGCAGGCCCGTGCACACTTGTGTTGCTCCTTGATGAGCTAGCTTGTTATTGGGGAAAACAGAAGGAATTCATGTTAACGAGATGGGAAAACAGAATGGCGCTTGGATTTCTTTAAAAAAAAAAAAGGGTAGGGGGTTTATAACATCTTTAAATAGGGATTATGGGAAGGACACATCAGAGGCAGCCAGATCCGGGATTTTGATTGGGGCTCTTGCTCAGGGATTCTTGCAGAAGTCCTCCCTACCTTCCACCAGAAACAGGAACAGCAGCACGGCGCCTGACTTTCAAAACCTTGCTGGCACCCTCTGCATATCTCTTGTCATCACTTTGGGTAGGGCATTGCAACCATGTATTTATGTGTCAGTCTCCTTTACTAGGGCGCATCCTAATTATAGGCAGGAACCATGCCTTATACTTATCCGAACTCACCGCCTTGAGCACCAGGTCTGGCACCAAGCAAATGCTCACTAAATGGTTGCTGAGTGAGCGAATGAATTATCGACAACTCAGCCGGACATACCATATCTCAGAGCAGGGGGGCCTGGGACCTCAGGGACTGAGGAGCCACTGCCTTCTCAGGTAGACTCCCCTTTGCCGAGGAAGGATCTTCTACTCCCCCTCAATTCCTATATTAGTCACCCCTTTCTCCGCCTCTTGAAATTTCCTTTATCCACAGTTGTCCTCTCTGGAGGGATTAGAAGCAAAGTTTCATGCAAAGGGTAGACCAAACTGATCTCGGCTATACTCGTGCTGCTTCCCTTATGTACTTCTTTTCTAATTGTAGCCAAGTTGCCTCTAAAACTTCAGCCCTTCTATAGGACGCTGGCCCAACCCCTTTTGTCCATATCAACCAGTTTTGAATAATTTTTAGTTTGATTCCTCCCAATCCTTTTATAATCAACATTCTTATTTGTAGACACAGCTAGCCATGTATCGTATCTTTCTACTGACAGTTAGATGGTGATAACATTAGCACAATTTGAGTGCTATCTGACCCATAAATGTGATTAATCAGTTACAGATCAAGTACTAAGTATTATTTTAAACTGACTTTATGTAATATTTAATGATTCATTCGCATTACCAAAAAGAACATGTATCTCTCAAAGTTACTTAAAGTTTTAAATGAATGGTTTTAGAATATTTGGTAGGGGGTGCTCAACAAAATGTATATGGTACATTAAAAAAAAATATTGATGATAGCTCGGCCAGTATGTTTCAGTCGCTGAGAGTGAACCCATGAACCCTGAGGTCATAGTTCGATTCCAGGTCAAGGCACATGCCCCTGTTGTGTGCTCAATCCCCAGTAGGGGGCATGCAGGAGGCAGCTGATCAATGATTCTCATCATCGATGTTTCTCTTTCTCTCCCTTCCTCTCTCTGAAATAAATAAAAACATTTTTTTAAAGAATTATGATAAACTGTCAACAAGCTCTATACTAAGTTTCCATTTTGGTTACAGAATTCGGAGGATGTTCGGTGTAAATGTATTTGTCCTCCCTATAAAGATATTCCTGGACATATTTATAATAGGAACATATCCCAAAAAGATTGGTAAGTATCCTGGATTGCTTAATTACCTGTCAGATTTCTTTCTGTGGTTGTCACTGTTAGCCCAGAATGTTCATCCAGTGTATTGTTTTCTTTTTAAGTATTTCTTTCTAAGCAAAAGTGTCAAATTCCATTTCCATTTGAAAAATTGAGAGTAAGACCCTGAGTGTATGATGTAAGCCTAAAGTAATATAGCAAAAACTCTAAGCCCCAGATAGGGTGGGTTTTCTATGGAAATGGGGCAGAGTTTGTGCCATCTAAACTTACTTCCTTTGCCCCCTTAAATTTTGGCCCTCTCTCTTGCTTTTCAGTGAAAGGTAAGCAAGCCTCATTTATCTGGGTTATAATTTCTACAGCTTGTAGGTTCTGGCGATATATTGCCAAATGTAGGAGACTATGTTTAAAAGTGTCAGAGACTCAGGAAGGAATGGATGAATCATGTACACCAGTTTCCCAGTTGGTGTGCCATGAATAGGTTATAGGTGTGATATTGATCCTTTCAGCTCTCAGGGTAATCAGGCAGGCATGTGATGATTGAGATCCTGACTGGCTAGCCACCAGCAGCCTTCTCTGTTTATCTCAGTGGATCTTGCAAATGCTAGCTTTTTCTGCATGTGCCATAAAATGGTTGGGAAACAGTTGTTTTGTCGCAGGATGGATGAGGTCATTCCCATGGAATTGTCATGTTTTTTGGTTTGTAACCTCAGTAGAATAATACCAGGATAGGCATAGAAGAAAAATAGCTCCAAATGCTGTGTGCTTTTACATGTATTTGATTTCATAGATAAACAGGCTACAAGAATTTGAAAGCAAAATTAAATTCGTGCAGTTACAATATTCCAAGCTGACTTGGAAAAAGAAAAGCAGCATTTGAGCTTGTTAATTTTTTTTTTTTGATGTTATTGTCTGCTCTTTTCATTTTGGTTCAATCTCATATTTGACAAGTATGTTCTTGAGAACTTCTTATGAATGTCCACATTCCACTTAAATTGTCTCATATTGCAAAGTGATTTAGCTATATTCTTACAGGTTTTATAGCAGCAAGTTATTGATATGATATAAGAAAGCTCAAATAAGTTTTAAGTTTTTCCTATAAATTTTCTAAATCTATAAAGCACTTACAGATAGGCAAGTTATGTTATGGCCTTATGAGGCCTCTAATATCCATCTGACCCTAGATATATACAGGGTGTCACCCTAAAATGTATACATACTTCACAGCTGATAGCTCAGTTGATGTTTCTTAACCCATTGGAATTAATAATTATTCAAAGTGTATATACATTTTTTTGGGACACCCTGTATTTACCTTTCAGCCTCCATTGTGCTCAGTTGTTAGCATTAATTCTTCATTGACTTCTGCTGTGTGACTTAAGAAAAGTTCGAGTTCTCTGGTTTGTGTTTAGGGTGAGATTTAAAGCCAAAAATGTCCTCCCTTTGGCTCTAGGGGGAGGTGTTGCCCAGTTCTTAAAGTGGTTGAGTTCTGTATCTGGGTTCTGTGTTTACAATTACTGGTCCTTCAGAACCAACCTTCCTGCTTCCTCTCCCCCCCCACAGTATCTAATCATTATTAAACTGTATTCTTCAAAAGAAACACGCAATACTCAGCACTTAGATTCTCAAGTAACTCTTAGGTACTGTTACTCAGGCTTCTGAAGTTGAAATGGGAAACTAAATGGGAGATAAGTCTGATATTCCTGAAGTTCAGAGAGATACAGGAGAGCTGACCTAGGAGACAGGAGCCCTGGATTTGGGTCCTTTTAGCTGGTAGTTTACTCTGTAACCTTGTGCAGGTGACTTCTCTGAAAGTGTTGGGCTGGATGAACTGTGATTCTGAGCTAGATACTCCTGTAACGGGATTTAGCTTTCTCTGCCCATTTTATGCCTGCATCCAGCTGGCTACATTCTTAGTCTTCTATATGTTTGGAACAGATATCACACACTTGTATGGTGTGAGTTGTGAGACCTTACCCTTATTTGAAATGCTACCATTGGAGACTTCTTTTTTATTATTATTACATACTACCTTTGTTTAAATTACAATTACTTTGTTAAGTGTAATTGATTGAACTTTTATCATTTATATTGTTTTGGGTTTTCTTTTTAAGCCACAGCACAGAAGAAATGAAACAAAACAAAACAAAAAGTACATTTTGATAGGGCAAATGGAAAGAGTCAGCCTAAAGCAGTGAGTGCCTCCAAGAAGGATGGTGGAAAGAGACAGGAAATTAGTAGAGTTCTTCTGGGAGCCAGAAATACCCAAGGAAGAAATGCCAAAAAGGGAAGAAAATTGACCAGCAGAAGGCAGGAAGACAGAAAAGTTTGCCTACTTTTGCTGAAGATAATCAGAGTAGTAGGCTCTTATTAGCTGGGGGAAGTAATAACTTAATTATTTTCTAGAATTGACAGGTTTCTGGGAAAATGCTTTTTTTATAGAATTGCTTTTTCATAAGCCATAAATATGTAGTTTGGAAAATAGAAAAACATCCAACAACAAAAACATTCAGCCTTTTATTTTTGATATACTTCTTCCAAGTAATCACTTTTCATTAAAAAATATTTTTGTTTTCCTAATCTTCCTTCTTCATGCTTTTCAATAGATATTTGCTCATTAAGACAAGTAATTATTTCTTACTGTAGCTTTGAATGTTCAAGTTTCAGAATTTACCAACTGCTAAGTATGATTAGCCATTTATATTCCAGACTGTGGCAATTAAGAATATTAGTTGATTCATAAAAGAGGTAATCTCATATTTCAACAATGCCCCAGGTCACTTTAAATCATTTAAAGCAGTTTTGCTTGGTAACTAAACAAGTTTGAATATGACTCAATCTGCTAAATAGGTTTTGATCCCATTTGGGATTTTTCAGGTGCATTATAAACTTCTAACAGTAGCACCTTTGAAAATAGTTACTATATATGTGTCTTTATGGTTTCTTAGACTTTTAGATCTTACCAAATTGCTGATATCAAGAGGAAATTGTTTCACTTCCCTTATTATTTGTTCCTTATATTCTTTCATTGGATAAGTTCAGTGATTATTCCAGATTTCAAGAAAGTTTTGATCAGTGTGAATAGAAAATCCAGCTAGACTTGAGCAGTATTTTATCTTTGTGTTTTTCAGCGATTGCCTTCATGTTGTGGAGCTCATGTCTGTAAGGGAGCCTGACATAGAAGCATACTGTCTGCGCTGTGAATGCAAATATGAGGAAAGAAGCTCTGTAACAATCAAGGTGAAAAACAAAAATCCATCTTTTCTGCTTCTGGAATAGTTCTTGATAATACTGAGACACGGAAAAATTTTTGACATAGGAATTCTATTTTAGTTACTCAAATACTGCTCTCCTCACCACTGACTTTACCTCCTTCCTCATCTCCCACCCCCAACCCCAAAGGCCTGCTCTCTGCCTGCCTCATTGAGTTGCTTTGTGGATTTAGATAAGGTAGATAGGTGTGGTATGTGTAATAGCACAAAAATACCCTACGTGTAATTAGCATATTCCAGAAAAATGTCCCAGCTTCTCTGTGGTCACATATGCCAGAAGATAGTGAGAATATAATGATTAGGCCCTCTTCTTCCTGCCCTCTCAACCCTTAAGAAGAATCATACATATAGTGACTCGTCTATTCTAGAAATATCACTTCTGGATTTTAAAATTTCCTTTCTTATTTGCTATAGGAAATGGAAGGTGGATCACTCTGATCACCATTTGGACCTCTAATAAGTTCAGTTACTTTACCGTGGTGACTAACGGTTCTCTCCCCAGTTTTTTCTATATGGACCTTCCCAATCCTTTCCCAAAAAGAGGGCACATGGGAAATCTGGGAATGGTCAGCTATAACAGTTACAAAGCTTTCTGGTGTGTTGGCCCTGTGGGAGAGCCCCTGCTGCAGCAGGGTGCGTCCCATAGAGAAATTCTCACTGTACTTCCTAATTTTAAACAAAAATTTTGATGTATAATTTATATACCTTAAAAGTAATTCACTGTAAGTGTATATTTCCATAAATCTTAGCAAATTTTTAACAATTTATAAAAATCTAGATTTAGAACATTCCCAAAACCCCAAAAAGGTCTCTCATGTCCCGCTCCTACCCTCAGTCCTAGGCAGTGGCTGTTCTGCCTTGTGTCTCTACAGGTCTGGACAGTTCATAAAGATGGATCATACAGTATGTGGTCTTCTGTGACTGGTTCTTTCACTTAGTATAATGTTTTTGAGGTTTATTCATGTTGTAACATATGTCAGTACTTAATTCCTTTTTATTGCTGAATGGCATTCTGTTATGTAACTATCCCACATTTTATTTATCCACTCATCAGTTGATAGACATTTGGATTATTTCCAGATATTTACTATTATGAATAATACTGTCATAAATATCTGCTTACAAGTCTTTGTGTGGCTAAGTTTTCCTTTCTTTTGGGTAGATTTCTTAGAGAGGTAAGTTTATGTTTAATTTTTAAGAGACTACCAGATTGTTTTCCAAAGTGGTTGTACCATTTTTCATTCCCCCCAGCAACATATGAGGGTTCAGTTTCTCCACATCCTTGTCAACATTTGGTATTGTCTGTCTTTAATTAAAGCCATTCTTGGGGATGTCACATGAATTAAGATCTCAAGAAAATCACTGGCCTAAAACATATTTTGAACATCTAAATTGATCTAAAAGAGTATTCTATTGAAATTCATCTGCATTGCATTTTCTGCTAGGGTTCTCTTATGTTGTCTTGACAGCACGAGGACACTGTATTCAGGTGAGAAAGAAAACTGCTATGCTAGCGGTGGTGATTAGCAGTAAGAGAAAATGGAGTTTTGAAGACTCACAAAAAGATCTCAACGACAAAATGCTTTTTTTTCTTTTTTCTTTAATACTTTGGTGAAGAATTGAATTTGTTTCTTATGTTCAAATCTGGTTGATATAGAAATCCTGTATGCTTAGCAGATAGACCAGTCTTCACTGCGGCTTTACTATGATTATACAGAATTCTGATTCCTTGGCTTGAACAGAGATGTAACTTATTTTCAATTTCCTTTAGGTTACCATTATAATTTACCTGTCCATTTTGGGTCTTCTACTTCTGTACATGGTGTACCTTACTCTGGTTGAGCCCATACTGAAGAGACGCCTGTTTGGACACTCACAATTAATACAGAGCGATGACGATGTTGGGGTAAGTTCTCAGCATGCCCTAGCTGACAGATCATCATCATGAAGTAATATAAATGTTCATGTACTGGAGCAGATAGTCAACTAGAGAAGCTAAAGATAGTTCTAATTTTAGCGTATGTCTCTTTATGAGGAAATTGCGTTGTAAAGCCACACATATGGTGGTTTAAACTGATGATCTTTAGTGAGTGTGTTATACCAGGCTTTGCTCTTCAGAACCCGGGTGCAATTTTCATTGCCTTCCCCTGTTTACATTGAGAAAAGCATCTGAGCTAGCTTTCTACCCACCTGAACACCTTCCCTGTTAGCATCACAGGGAATATCATAGGAGGTAAAGAGGCTTTAGCGAAGGAAAGTATGCAGACCATACTGTTCTTTTCTTAATGATGTGCAGCTTGATAACCTGCTGATGTTTTATATATCCTGTTATTCTTCTTAAAAATCTGTGATCTTTAACTCTAGAGAAACATAAAACCGTCACTCCAGATTCTCTTCCTATCGCTAAAACACATTTATACCCATCCATACAGTTGGTATAACTGTATGTGTACCTTACTCAACTTATACAGTTGGTATAATCAGTATATAAATGTTTTGTGGTCTGCTTTTTGTGTCAACATCATTCAGAAATGTCCAGAAAATGACATAGTCCACAAACTTGTTATTCATTTTAACTTAGAGGAATATATTGTTTGTTTTAATATCCTGTTTGGGCTTATTTCCAAATTTTCATTATTACATATATATATATAATTTTTTAGAAATTACTTCTTATTTTGAATTACTTTATTGGACTATGTTCCTTAAAGTGGGTAAAATTCAGTAAAGCTTCAAGAATCAATTCCAAAAGCTAACGCCAGGATGAGCCCTTGCTAGCCACAGTCAGAAGCCCTTTTACTCTTAAATGGCTTGTGGACCTGTTGGTAAAAGATGGGAAGGTGGATCCTGACTGGATGGCTTTAGTTATATCTACAAACAGAGCCTCCTTTTTTTTAAAAATATATATATTTTTTATTGATTTCAGAGAGGAAGGGAGAGGGAGAGATAGAAAGATCAATGATGAGAGAGAATCATTGACCAGCTTCCTCTTGCACACCCCCTACTGTGGATCGAGCCCTCAACCCGAGCACGTGCCCTTGGCTGGAATCGATCCTAGAACTCTTCAGTCCACGCTCTATCCACTGAGCCAAACCAGCTAGGGCCAGAACCTTCTTTTTGATCAATACATTATTGTCTCATGAATATCAGTTATGAATACTCAACTTATTTACCCAAGATTTCATTTTAGTTTTGTTAAAAACTTTCTTAGAAACACCTCTGTTTACTTCTTTTCCCCTTGTTCCCATTACAAAATGAGTAACTTTTTATTATCAGGTACCATGCTAGATATTAGCAATAAAGAGATGAATAAAACAAAGAGACATGTAATCAGGCCGGTGTGGATTAGTGGTTGAGCATCGACCCAGGAACCAGGAGATCTAAAGAGACATGTAATCAGGAACCAGGAGATCATGGTTTGATTCCTGGTCAGGGCACGTGCTCGAGTTGTGGGCTCCATCTGTGCAGGAGGCAGCCAATCAATGATTCTCATCAAAAGATAGGATTAGATAATTCTTTGTTGAAGGGGGCTGCCTACATTGTTCATTGTAAGATATTTAGCAGCATCCCTACCTCTACCCACTAGATGCCAATAGCATCTTCATCCCAGTCACGACAGTAAAAAATGTCCACAGACATTGTCAAATGTTTCTGGGGAGCAAAACCACCCTCAGTTGAGAACTAACATATGAAAATGTTATGTGTCAAAGGCCATATAACCATTTCATTATAAGGCACATAAATAAAAAGTCTCACTTAAACTACATCACTTACAGCATTAAATATCTAGTTCCTGCTTTTAGGAATAGATAATATCAAAGAACATAAAAGAAAGAGATGCATGCCCTAGCTGGTTTGGCTCAGTGGATAGAGCATCGGCCTGCGGACTCAAGGGTCCCAGGGTCGATTCCAGTCAAGGGCATGTATCTGGGTTGCGGGCACATCCCCAGTAGGAGGCGTGCAAGAGGCAGCTGAATCGATGTTTCTCTCTCATCGATGTTTCTAACTCGCTATCCCTCTCGCTCTCCCTTCCTCTCTGTAAAAAAATCAATAAAATATATTAAAAAAAGGAAAGAAATGGATGCACAAATGTGTAGACAAAAACATGTAGGAAAGGCATTTGATTGGTGGGGTCATGTGCTTAACCTTTTTGTTCACCAGTGATAGGTTCTCTGTGTAAGATGCCCATTTGAGAACATTGTTTCTGAGAGGCCCGGCTGACTCTTGAGTTATCTGTTAAACTATTGTCAGCAGAGGGGGATTTTCAGACCAAAGCTGTGAATTTATGGTAACAATCTGTTACCATGTAAAATAAAAAGAAGTTAAATTTAAATTCTACAGTTGTTGGTCACCCAAGATGAGAGTTCACTATGTGCTTTTAAAAGTGGTTTTGTTAAATTCTCAATTAAATTGTTTTAATTTTTGTTCATTGTAGAGTATTTTAAATCAAGCAAGAGTTAGTACAAATAGTTCCAAAGCTCACTGTAAGCAGTCACAATATTTACTGTATTATATATCCATGACACATCATTGCTATTATCAAAGCATTACATTAAAACATGTTTTGTATTTACTGTAATTTTATCAGGTGTGAAAAGAACAAACATATAAAAAGGGTAAATCTCTATTTGCATTCTCCAGGCCTCCATGACCATGAGCAGCTAGTTCAATCTTGTTCTGATAGGTGGAGAACAGACCAAAAAAATTACTGGTTTATTTAGTCCTTTAAATGTGTTCCTTAAAAAGATCCCCATCTCCCACCTTGAAGAGTAGATAGCAGGATTGTGAAATTGAGAGGTCCTCTGCTGAAAAAGTACATCCTTCTTCCTAATCTTGTTTATGTCAAAACAAGCCAATGGTGATAATATTTTATATACAAGTTCATCACCATATCCTTATAGTGTCATTTTAATCTACCTGAACAAAATCAGTATGTTTAGACAATATGACGCCAAGTCAAGGTTAGGTGAGCTTAAGTCTTGTGTTTGTGCTAATTAGTTAGATGACCTTGGATCGGTTTATTTCTTTGTGGGAAATCGAGTAATCCAACAACTTTACCCTTCCTCTTCCCTCACCTTATTTCTTATATCTTCAATACATTTTTACCTTTATGAAATTGTTATTATTTTCATTTGAAGATTAAAAAATTTAATAGGCTTTGCACAAGCTGTTACATAAATTAAGTGAAAAGTTGAGGGAATTTTGGGAAAGAAGGCAGGGAAAGATTATAGAAAACTTTTTGATGCAGTTATATACATGTCTTGGTATAAAAAGAAGACTAATCCTAGCTGGTTTGGCTCAGTGGATAGAGCATCAACCTGCGGACTAAAGGGTCCTGGGTTCTATTCCCAGTCAAGGATATGTACCTCAGTTGCAGACTGATCCCCGGCCTTGGTTGGGGCTCATGTGAGAGGCAACCAATCAACGTGTCTCTTTCACATCCACGTTTCTATCTATCTATCCATCCCTCCCTTCCACTCTCTCTAAAAAAACCAATGGAGAAATATCCTTGAATGAGGATTAACAAAAAAAAGAAGATCAGGTATTATAACAACACATGCTTATGGTTATATATAGGTATATGGTGTGTATAGCTTTCTATAGACATGCTGACGCCTGCCCTGGATATATAATAGAACCTTTACAAGCATGCGCAACAAGACCATGTTGTTTCTTTACTAGAGGCAAAGTTTAGTTTAAGAGATAAAACGTGTGCCCTAACTGGTTTGGCTCAGTGGATAGAGCTTCGGCCTGCAGACTGAAAGGTCCCAGGTTCGATTCCGGTCAAGGGCATGTACCTTGGTTGCTGGCACATCCCCAGTAGGAGGTGTGCAGGAGGCAGCTGATCGATGTTTCTCTCTCATTGATGTTTCTAACTCTCTATCCCTCTCTCTTCCTCTCTGTAAAAAAATCAATAAAATATATATTTTTTAAAAAGAGTTACAACTTGTGACTTGGATCCTATGTTGGAACATTTAGAAGCTTTGTTAACCAGGGTTTGGGAAAAAGAGATCAAGAAAAAGGCAAACAAAAGCAGTAAGTTTTTAATGCTTTTTGTCCTTTAGGCAGCTGTGTTTATATCTCCTTCACAGATAGATTAGCACAGTGGTTTCCCCTGTAATGACTACAAACATCAGTGGCATTGGTTTACTTTGACCAGGATAAGTTGTTTTTTTACACAGATACCTGGGTAAGCCTTCAATAGCCTCTTTCCTAAGGCAGCAACTAGCATAGAAGCCATAGTGCTCAGCATTGAAAGATTCAAGTCTTTTTTGAAGAGAAATTCTGAAGCAGTAATTCTTACTGCCCTTGGTAATAGAGGGTAATTTTAGCACATGCGGTGTCTCTTTTCATCACAGATTGGGGAAGGGGTAAACCAGTCCATTTAGTGTATATGGTGAGGGGGCAAAATCTTATCAACTCATCTCCCAGGGTGAATGTGGCCCCAGCTGTCAAGTAACAATTCTAATATAATGGGAGTCAGGTAAGATAGGTCTTTCCTCTGCTCCAGTTCAACTATACAGTATTGAGTGAAGCAAGGAAAAGTCCTACTTTCTGTGTCTGTAGCATACCGATTTTAACATGAAAATAGATTTTCTTGCCCTACCCGTTAGCGAAGATTCTCTTTAACATAAATGACCACTGTCTTTATCTTCGGTCCCTGCTTCTTAAGGGAAATGTCTTTGGAAATGGTGATTCATGAGAACATGACACAGATACCTCCTCATCGCTTATGCCACTTGAACCACCTGTTTCTGCAGTTGAGTTCAGCCTACTTCTAGCAGTTGAGGGCCTAGAAATGCTTGGGCAAATAGATGGTCTATTCTTTGAAAAACCCAGCTGCTTCTGTCTCTGGCTGAACAACTGCTGTTTTGTGTGTATGTTTTACACCAATTATGCCATCTCTTATGGTCTCCATTCCTGGCCTTTCAGGATCACCAGCCATTTGCAAATGCCCACGATGTGCTGGCCCGCTCCCGCAGTCGAGCCAATGTGCTGAACAAGGTAGAGTATGCCCAGCAGCGCTGGAAGCTTCAAGTTCAAGAGCAGCGGAAGTCCGTCTTTGACCGTCATGTTGTCCTCAGCTAATTGAGAATCAAATTCGAGGTAACTAGAAAGCAACAATGCAGGCAACTGGAAAAAAACTGACTGATTTTTCCTGGGTTTTGTTTTCACACCCTATTGATTTCACCAACTCTTGCTGGAAAATTCAAAACCCGAAACAAAAACGTGCTTGGAATTTTTTTCTTGTTAACATATTAATAGAGACATTTTTTAAAGCACACACCAAGCATACACGCCAATAAACCTTATCCTATTTGTGACAAAGTACATCTGCCTATAAATTACCTTGAAGTCCTTTACCTGGAACAGGCATTCTCTTTTTTCACCACACAGTTTTAACTTGGTTTTCAAGATAATTTTCAGGTGGTTTTGTTTTTTTGGCAGGGGAGGGAAGGGATGTGTGGGAACTGCTTAACATAACTTTCTCAAGTCACTTTACTAAAAAAACTTTTGTAAATAGACTTTATCTTATATTTTTAAGTTTCATTTCTATATTGCAGTGTGGCCAGCCGCATCAAAGCCCTGACTTATCCTTTTTGAATTTTGCACTGACTGTCTTTAGGTATCTGGTTGGCCAGCAGCTGTACTTTATGGTAAACTAGGTCTGAAATGCCTGGTGCCTCTTCACAAAATGCAGATTTTCTTTTAAGTACTGTGATGTGTGATGCAGTGCATCCTAAAACAAACTGGCCACTTTCTAGTTTACTCTAATGACTAAACATAGTCTTGGCATGAGTGGTCTTTCTCATCCCCTAATATCTTTAGGATGAATCCTAAGGACTTGGATACTTGCAATAAAGAAGTTTTCTTTTAAACCAAGCCATGGATTGATGACATACACATACTGTCAGCATTTTTGGTCAGGTTGAGAGGGAGCTTCTTTGAGCTGTGGTGTGTGCTGCTTGAACAAGTAATGGAGTTCTGTGTGCCTCCCTCTGCAGGGATAACAGTCACTGGATAACTGGCTTTTTTCTTCCTATGTCCTCTTTGGAATGGAACAATAAAAATAATTTTTGAAAAACCTACCAGTGTATCTATGTCTCAACTTTTCTCCTCTCCCTCTTTTGCTATATGATGAACTTAGAGATGCAAAGGCATGTGCACCCTATTGTGAGATCTGTTTTAGACCAGTCTAATCATAAAACATTGGTACTAAATTGCGTGTGTGTGTGTGTGTGTAGAGAGAGAGAGAGAGAGAGAGAGAGAATGTATGGGTACTAAGGCCTCTGAAAGTATACATATGCCATTTTGATATATTGGGAGATTTAAAATGCATGTTATAAGAAATTCTTGGCAAAAAATTATAATTAAATTAAATTCATAATTATAAAGTTTTAGAAGCTATTAATGGATTTTTTAGTTAATGAAAAACAATTTTTCAGACCTACAAATTTAACCTAAATTATTGATTTTATTGTTAATATTAAAATGTGTCATTTCAACTACACCCAAGTGAAATTTATGTCAAGGATTCAAGACTGGTTGAATATTCGAAGATCACATCAACAGGCTAGAGAAGGAAAATGAAATGATCCTATTAATAGATGCAGAAAAAGCAAACCTCAACACCCATTTATGAAAAAATAAAACACAAAAAGAAACACCTCAGTAAAGTAGGAATAGAAGAGAACTTCCTCATCTAGGTAAAGAATATCTACAGAAACCCACAGCTTACTTAATGGTAAAAAGTGGAAGTGTTCCTGCTAAGATGAGGAACACGGCAAGGTGTCCTCACCACTGCTTTTCAGCATTGTACTGCAAATCCTAGCTAATGCTGTAAGACAAGAAAAGGTATACAGATTGGGAAGGAAGAAATAAAATTGTCTGTTTCAGATGAAATGATCATCTATGTAGAAAATAAAGAACCACAAAACAAAAACCTCTTAAAAAGAATGATTATAGCAAAGTTGCAGGATAGAAAGTTAACATACAGTAGGTAATTGCCTTCCTATATTCTAGCAATGAACAAATGAAATTAAAAACAATACCATTTACCAATACCAGTCCCCAAAGTGAAATAGGTATTAAGTCTAACAAAATATGTACAAAATATATATGAGGAAAACTATAAAAATAATGGAAGAAATCAAAGAAGGATTAAATAAACAGAGATACTCAATGTCCATGAATAGGAAAACTCAATACTGTCAAAATGTAGGTTTTTCTAAACTTGATCTATAGATTCAATACAATCCCATTGAAAATCCCAGCAAGTTACTTTCTGTATTTCAACAAACTGACTCTAAAGTTTATATCAAGAAGCCAAAGAACCAGAAAAGCCAACACAATATTAATGTAGAAGTACAGAGGAGGAGTGACAATATCCGATTTGAAGAATTACTGTAAAGTTATAGCAGTCAAGTTAGTGTCAGTGTAGTACTGGCAGAATAGATCAATAGAACACAACGGAGAGCCTTAATAGACTCATACAAATACAGTCAACTGATCTTTGACAAAGAAACAAAGGCAGTACAATGGAGGGGGAGAAAAGCTAGACACAGACCTTATGCCTTTCAAAATATTAACTCAAAATGGACTACAGACCTAAATGTAAAACACAAAACTATAAATGCCCAGAAGATAACAGGAGAAAATCTAGATTACTGTTGGTTTGGCAATGACTTTTTAGATATAACACCAAAAACACAAATCATGAAAGAAATAATTGATAAGCTGGACTTCATTAAAGTTAAAAACTAATGCTCTGAAAGACATTGTCAAGAGAAGTAGAAGACAAGCCACAGACTAGGAGAAAATATTTGCAAAAGACATATCTGATATAGTATTATTATCTAAAATAAACAAAGAACTCTTAAAACGCTACAATAAGACAACCTGATTAACAAAAGGGCCAAAGACCTGAACAGACACCTTACCAAAGAAGATATGTAGATGGCAAATTAGCATATGAAGAAGTGCTCCACATCATATATTCTAATAGGATATATTAAAATGACCTATTAGAATGACCAAAATCCAGGACACTGAAAACACCAAATGCTGATATGGATATGGAGCAACAGGAAATCACATTGCTGATGAGAATGCAAAATGGTATGGCCAATTTGGAAAACAGTTTGACAGTGTCTTACAAAACTGTATAACATACCCTTACTAAAAAACACAACAATCATAATCCTTGGTATTTACCTAAATGAGTTGAAATTGTACAGACACAAAAACCTGCACATAAATTTTTATAGCAGCTTTATTTAAAGTTGTCATAACTTAAAAGCAACCAAGATGTTCTTCAGTAGGTGAATGGATAAATGGAGTATATCCAGACAGTGGGATATTCCGTGCCAAAAAGAAATGATCTATCAAACCAAATTAAAAATACACAGAGAAACCTTAAATGCGTATTACTAAATAAGCCAATCTGAAAAGGCTACATACTATATGATATTCTGGAAAAGGCAAAACTATGTGTGGAGGCAGTAAAAAAATCAGTGGTTGTCAGGTATTGGAAGGGAGGGATGAATAGGTGGAGCACAGAGGCTTTGTAGAACTGTAAAACTATTCTGTACTTGTCGTTGTACAGTTGTCAAAACTCATGGAATATACACCACCAAGAGTGAACTCTATGTACACTACAGACTTTGAGTGATAATGATGTCAATATTGGTTCATCAATTGTAACATATATTTGGGTGGGATGTTGCTAGTGGGGAAGAATGGGTGTGTGTAGGGGCAGGTGCTATATGGGAACTCTACTTTCTGCTCAGTTTTGCTGTGCATCCAAAATTGCTCTAAAAAATACAACCTATTTAGAAGCCAACAAATTTAATAGATATTTTAATAAACTAGGTTCACATGGCTCTTCCTGGTTATGGCCTTAATCTCTATTTAAAGAATATTGACTAATATTGCACATTATGAGGCTATTACTTAAAGATAATTCTGATATAAAATAATATAACCCCCATGGTATGGGCACTTTGGAAAACAGTTTGATAGTTTCTTACAAAACGGTATAACATACCCTTACTATAAAACCCAGCAGTCACAATCCTTGGTATTAGGCCTTTTCCAGGATGTCACATAGTATGTAGCCTTTTCAGATTGGCTTCTTTATTTAGTAATACGCATTTAAGGTTTCTCTATGTATTTTGAATTCGGCTTGATAGATCATTTCTTTTTGACACTGAATATTCCACTGTCTGAATATACTCTATCCATTCACCTACTGAAGAACATCTTGGTTGCTTTTAAGTTATGACAACTTTAAATAAAGCTGCTATAAAAATTTATGTGCAGGTTTTTGTGTGTTTATAAGATTTCAACTCATTTAGATGAATGGGGGAGCATTCTTTTTACAAAAGACTTTGTTACAGGAGTCCAGTTTCATAAGTAAACCTTTCTACTTGGTATTATGTGTTGTCATATCTACATGTTAGGTTGGAAAAAAAAACACACAGCTAAACCAGAACTGAGCAGTTCTGTTTAACTGTAAGCTACTTTGCATATTGTTACTAAATGATCACCTATAAATCAGGGTAAATTTCACCAAATCCAAAATACAGCATCGTGGTGACAATACTCAGGTAAGAGACTCTGCTCCAGAGTGGCCCATGGGGGAGAATAAGAATATGATTTATCGGAAAATCCCTAGGTACTCTTGGTAAATGATGAATTTTGTCAGCTACCTGATTATTATCTTTATCAATTATGCCTATATGTTAAAAGATTCAGATTTTGCTGGTGACTAATTCATCTGGAGTAGTGGAAAGGGTTTTGGTTTGCAAGTCAAGAGACCTAGGGTCTGGCCCCTGCTCTGCAACTAGCTCTGCAACCTTAGCCAAGTTACATCCCCTGAGGGATTGGGTAAGAGGATTTCTAAGGTTCCTCCATCCCTAACTTTCCATAACTCAATTATAGGTGTAGTTGTAGCTTTGTTTCTCACATGCTAGATATTATTAATGTCTCTGCAAGTTGAAGCTTTTATGCTCAGCAGAGCATCCAAAAATCTATTTAGAATGTTATCATCAAGACCTCATTTATTTCCCAGAAGAGCTCTAGGACAGAAACCGGAGACCTTTCCAAGATAGGTGAATTTGTTACTGTGCGTGAAATCTGGGACTGCCAGACCCCAGCACTAATAGTTTGTGTTGCTTTCTTTTAAAAACTACTCAGTTTCTACAAACATGTCCAGCTTCCACTAGACTTCCTTGATTATTACTGCATTTTGCATTCTATCACTCCATTGTGTTGTAGCTAAATGTTCTTTGAATAAAAGGTGAGCATGTTTAACTGCTACTACATTGAGTAGTGAGCTTTTGGTATACCTTCCCGAAGCAAGCACTGATGAGTGAACTTTTTGGAAATGCTCAATAGAAAAGCTTCTCATGGGTGTGTCTCCAGACACAAGGCTCTATTTCCTAGGATAAAGCAAAGTCTTGTTAAAGCCTAGACATTTCTAATTACCTGTAGCATATGCAAATTATTCAGATTTCATGAGTCAAGGTTTACGATAATATTAAATGATCTGTCAGAATAAAACCATTCTCAAAAAGTTTGTGTGTGTGATTGGCTTTGATGGCATCTGCCTTATGTTTGGTGTCCTGTTGTGTCACTTGTCAGCCATAGGCAGAAACAAGGCTCTGCTGTCCTCAGAAATGTAGAAATACAGGCTCCGTACGCATTGTGCCATCGTTTTGTAGCTTCTGCCATACTTGTTCTTTATCTACTCTCTACTGTCTATCTCTGGCTTGGGAATTTCCTAACCATTTTCTCTCAGCAACTTTTTCTTTTTGACACAATGTTGGCTAATCTCCCAGAGATTTTTGTTTTACGTTAGTTATTTCAGGTCATTTGGTCAGTAATTAGGAATCTTTCGCTTCCTGTTTCTCTGTTTTGATTTTTCACTGGACCTATCACACTTATTTCATTCCCCCACTCCCACCCCCCTCTAAGGAGGAGTTTTTCCTGGCATTTACCCCTTTTCCAGCCTGTCTCCACATGATTTATTATAATTCTCCTTAACCCTTAACCCCCACCCCGTGCCCTTTCTGTTTCCATAGTCATT